TTCAAAATTTATATGTTATTTAATAGTATATTAACATTAAACTATTAAAACTTATTGAATAATCAGATTTCTTGAATAAAATATTATTAAAAGAAATTCAAAATTTCAAAGTAAACGCGTTTTCCATTTTTATGTTTTCAGAAACAGTTTTTCAAAATGACAAAAAGAACGCATTTTCAGAAATTTCAAAACAGACACTCAAAACAAAAAACACAAAACACAAAACTGAAACACAAAGAGAACGACCCCTAATTGTCCCAACTTTATTTTCTTCAACATCAACTTCTTCGTTATCAATAAAAATAACACTCCCTAATTTTGTCTCATTTAATAATAGATAAGCAACCTCAAGTAGTCCAACACTTTCAAGAGTATCAAATGAGTCACCGATAATGTCCCACATTTTCAATTCTCCTTTTGAATAGATATCTTATTTTCTTGATAAAAGACGTAGATTGCTATGAATGAAAATCAATTTTTCAGCTCGTTGTGAAATTATTTTATTCCTTCTCATAGAGTACAAAAAGAGTATGTACTTCAATTTCTTTCGGTACAAGATGAAGAAGAAGGTTGCAAAAAAGTTTCAAAGCAATATTTTGAAGTAAACATGCATGTGAACCATGAAGTAACCACCATGTCTTTGAATCCATATTATACCTATTAGTGAAAGAAGCAAGCTCGCCTATAATACTCTTATTCACGTGTCCTAACGTATCGGATACATATCGTAAATAATTGACAAATATAAAATAATTAAAAACACGTATCCAATACGTATCGAAAAATTAAACAATAAAAAAATATATAAAATAATTACAAAAATGTATCTGGTACGTATCGGAGGGTATCGAAGAATATCCAAGTTTGGATAAGTATCGGATACGGGTGCGTAATGAGTTTACTAGTATCCGTGCTTCTTAGAATCCCCTAACAAAATGTACCATGATAGAGAATTAATTCCTCTAATCGTTATATTTAGACATACATTTGTGCTGTACCTAATAGTTCATTATTTGGTACATAGTTTATTATAATGTTGGAAATATGTTCCAACATTTCACCCGGTCCAATTAATGAAGAGTAACTCATATCAGTCAATTTGGTTCTAAAAACTTGATTTCTCTTGTTCAAAGAACTATATGTTTGAATGCTAAAATTCATGTTAGTTGTACTTGTAAGTTGCAAACAATTTTCATGTTTCTGATCCTGGTTTGGGTATTGGTTGTCTCTTCTTTGCAGGGTTTTCTCCTTGAACGCAAGCCTGAAAATGCTGCTGCAATCGTACAAAGTTACTTTTATTTTTAAAAACAGTTGAATTTATAGAAAATGTAAGGTTAAAACCTAATGCTGGCACCTTCCTCAAGTGCTTTAGAGCAAGTTATAGGGTGCCTGTTAAACTTAGCATGAAGGACTTGAGCTAAATGGAGAGTTCCAAATCGTCAATCTAGATTGTAGAATCAAATTTGTTTTTCCTTCTGAAACTGAAGTCTCATATCTACGATGTTCTGGTTCGTAAAATATTTGATATCATTGGGGAATTTTTGGCATGGTTATCAGACTTGAACACTTTGTTTACACTTGATATCAGAAACTCATGATTGTACTAAAACAAAAAATGGGAGCATCAGCTGATGTACTTACCCTTCCCGAACTCTATGCTGTCACTCCCCTGCACTAAATTTTTAACTATTCATGTTGTTTTGGTAGAGATTAAGAGTAGTGTCTCAATAGCCGACTATCTGTTCTTTGGATTCTAGCGCAATATGATCAAACTATATATTCCTTAGTAATTTTCACCTGATATAGATTACTCACTTTAAAGATTTTAAAGTAAACAACAGAGTTTGTACAGTTAAGCTTCTTCAATATAATCCCCTCTGTTGGGATTGCTGAAATATATGTATTGTATGTGTTTCCAGACTTTGTCTGATGCAAAGAGGCCAGTTATAATGGTTGAACTTCAAAAGCTAGTCAGTGAGTGGCCTTTGGAAATTTTAAAGCATCAAAAAGAGGAGAGCAGAAAGGTAAACAAATCTAATCTGATGATTTCAACTGTTTTTCCTTGGAATATAATTGTGTCCATGAATTTATTTTCCGTCTCTTCCTTTCTTTTTGGGCAGAGGATCATATTGAACTGTGCAAGATTCTGATTACATTTTCTTTTCTTGTTGAATTATCTGGGGTTTTATGACAGTTGTTTCGTGATATATATCACATAGTTGTCGCGTACTTAACACTAATGCATAGGATAAAAATATAAAGCTAGTGGGCATGTCGTGCATTTACAGACTTTTGTGCCTTGGTGTTTAGTGCCTTTTTTCGCCCTATTCAAGGATTACATACGGAAATTTGTTTACTTGGGAGTATGTTGACGAAGATTGCTGCATATTTTAGAATCCTTTTTTGTTGTCTTGTTCAGGCATCGGCTGCTGCATTAAAAAAGGATATTCCTGCCATGATCAATGCATTATCGAGCTTGGGTTTGGACGTGAATGTTAATAAGGAGAACCTGACAGGGAAATAAGTGGTTTTATCTTGAAACCAGTTCCTCGTCTGTTTTGCACATTGGGTTTTTTTCAGCTGTCGGGTTCCTCTCAGAAGCAACCAAAATGCCAAACAAACTGATGATTATCTGTCGAGCTTTGAGGCCTAGTAACACAATACAATCAGATATTCATCTTTTCGTTTCCTTATCTTTGAATTTTGTCAAGGAAATTTTATATTTGTTCACCTTTTGTACCATTAACTCAATGAATCGCTTAAAATTGTTTATAAGTTGGTCAAATTTTATTTTTGTTCAAAAATTTTGTAGAAATTATAACTTATTTATTAATCATATATTCTTTGAGATATGTTGCTTGTAAGTACTTAAAAGTATAGCTAAATAAAAAGGATTCAACAAGGTTTTGATATCCAATAGTTAAGGTTCAAAATCTCTGCAATTGATCGAAAAACTCATAAACTGGAATCTTGATGCTGATTCAGCCACGTTTGTTTCCCATTCTTTAAAGGTGTTTTTTTTAATTGTTTTATTATGAGAATTGTAAATATACTATTTTGCCCCTTATTTAATTTGTTCATTTGGGTCAAAAATACAATTTCATTGTTGACTAACGGCATTATGGACGAAATCAGTGATTTGAATAACGTCTGCAACAAAATATAAAGGTTTGGAACTGCGGCCGCCAAAATGAAAGGTTAGGGTATAATTTGCAATAAAATGAAAGGTTCGGGGACCTTCACTACAATTTTCCTCGTAGAATAATTAAAATAATATTAAAAATTGGACTATGCATCATTACGCCAATGTACACTTAGACTCATAATGTTTGAAACTTGACTTTCACGTATTGTCATGCAATGCACCTATCAGAACCACATTATAATAAATTCGGAAAACAAAATGATAAATAAATATACGATAGGGAGAATCGCAGATGGGGTTCCAAACCTTCCAAAAAGGTGCAATGGGGTCTCAAACCTTCTAGTTTTTTGTTCGGCCATCCCAAGCATCCTCCAAATGTATAGCTATACAATGTAAGACTTTAACTAGAAAAATGAATCCCACCTACAAGTGAAGGAGTGTGTTGAAAGAGATATATATGAAGAGGTATTGTAAGCGGTTCAATTTGACCGATTTTTGATATATTTTCAAATTAAACTATTTAAATTAACTTGAGAAAACTCAAATCTAAACCAAACCATTTAAATGGTGTGAGATTTTATCAAACCTAAACCTAACGGTTTGGTTCGATGTTAAATCATGATTTGAACATATATTAAATTATAAATTTAAATAGCAACATAATCAAAGAAAAGTCACAATGTCACCAAGACAATTTTTTTTTTCCAATTTTTAGGCTAAGTCTGTACAAAAGAAAAGCACGAGAGTATATGGATTGATTGATAATGGAGTTATTGAAAAGGGTAATTACTGGTTTGAAATCGCAGCTAAAACTTTGAAACCTAATTGTTCGATTTAGTTCAAAATCTTTTTGTTGTGGTCCACATGACAATAAATCGATAGTTTCAAAAAGGTGATTTCCGTTCGTTTTTTAATTTTGACAATTTTTGCTTACACCCCTAATATATATCTTTCTATCTATAAAAAGTGCCTATCTAACGGAATTTGTTGGTTTAACGGAAAAACTAACGGAATTTGTT